GATTATTTGGGGGAATTGGGATTTTCTATAGAAACAAAGGAAAAAAAACCAGCTGACAGCAAGGCAGAAGAGAGGAGGCCTCTTCTTGTAGAGCTGGGAAGGACTTTGAAAAGCTGGAGTATGGCGGTGTGTGCGCCAGTCCCAGCTACTCTGTGCACGCCCATCCTGCCAGCTTCCTGCATCCCTGCAGGGACATCCCAAGGACAGGTTTCAGAGGGGGATGCAGCTCCTCCATCAGCTCCATCTCCATCCCAGCTCCCTTGGCATGTTGCTCCAAGAGGACTGGTCCCCATGGCATCACCYGGGTGGAGGTGAGCCCCGAGAGGATGCTCCACATCCTCAAACTACCTCATTCAGCCAGCCTGGTCCYGGGGATGTGCACCACCAGCGGGGCTGTGGCACCGATTGCCATTTGGCAAAGCCAAGCAGTTACTGAAAATAAAGCAACACTGCTGAAGAAGAGGAGGCTGCTGCAGGAAGAGGCAGAGGCAGAACCAGAGAAGGGCAGGGGTGATGATGCAGGGGCTCAGGAACAAATCTTGGCTAAGGGAGGGTTGTGCTGGAGGGAATGGGAGAGCAGGGCTGGACGTGGGGTGGTGAYAAGGCTCGGAAAACAGCTTTGATTTCCATATTTATATAAATGCATCCAAGTTTAGTCCTTCTTTTATTTTTTTTCCTTCAAAAACGGAAATTTCCATGAAAACATGCTCAATTTTTCTCCCTTCCCTTTTACTAAAATCCCCATGAAAATGTTCGTCTGGTCTCGCTTCCTTTCCAGGTTTGGATCTGCTGGGCTGATGCTGGGTTGACAGTCAGCCTGGCCACAGTGGTGGATYGGCTGTCATCTGTATTTTAATTAAAAAAAAAGTTGGATCGTGAATCTTTGCATGAAGAAACAGCTGAAGGAAAACCTTAGTCCCTGAAAACAAAGAGGAGGAGTAGGCAAGAGCATCTCTGGGTGCTTGGAGAGTGCAAAGCCTCCAGCCTGGRGACAGCAGTTGTCCTTCAACACTGATTCCAGCTGCGCTGTGTCTGAACACAGGGCTGGGAAAGGAGATGCAGCTGCTGCCACGTGTTCTCCTCATCACAGCAATGTTCATTAATGGTGTGCGCCGGCAAAAATGCAGCAATGTGCCAAAATCCCATGTTTTCAAAAAGCTGAAATCCCCTGGGATTGTGTGCGTGCTGTGGCTGCCAAGGGGTTAATGCAGCTGGAGAGATGTTCAGGCGGTGGAGTTCCCTGCAGCCGGGAGATGTGTTTTCACAGACAGGCTGAGGCTCCCCTCCTTCCCAACCTCCCTTCAAGGCACCTGGAAAGCCCCAAAGCCCAGCAGGAGCCGGGTGTAGGATGGGGCTGGGAGGGACGGGGCAGGGGGATGCTCCAGGGCAGTCAGGGATGGAGGGGTGGGGGCTGCCTCTCTCGCCGTGGACTGGCTGTCTCCTACCTGGCTGGAGGGAGTGGGAAGGGGAAGGGCTGGGAATGAATGGAGCTGGGATGGGATGGAGATGGGGAGGAGGATAAGAGGAGGATGGGACTGGGCTGGGCTGGGCTGGGCCGGGCTAGGGAGGGGAGGGGAATGGGATGGGATGGGGATGGAAGAGGGATGGGATGGGTCAGGCTGGACTGGGGTACGTCAGAGCCTCTCCAGCCCCACAGGCAACTCCCACCTGAGAGGGAAGGGAGGAAGAGCAGTATCAGGACAGGGGATGGACATCCCAGCAAACTGCCGCAGTGGGAGAGTGGCAGAGCACCCCGAGCACCTCATGCTGAGCACATGTTCTGCATCAGGGCAGTTGTGTCCTTCCTCACGCAGGGGATCTGAGGATGTGTGGTTTTGCAGGTTCCCCCCACCCAGATCCAGTGCACGGTGTCCCCAGGGAGCTGTGTGACACCTGCTGGGTGTCCCCAGATATCATGGACATGTCCACAGGAGGGTCTTTGCCTCCAGACCCTGCTGTCAGGGACAGGGTGGCACTGAGGACACCCTGTCTCAGCCGAAAGCAGCTTCCCGTGGTTGCAGGAGCGAGTGCTGGGTCCACAGGGACAGGGCACGTTTGCAAACACAGCCCTAAATGTAAATCAGCTCTCCTCACCACGGTATTTATAATCTTATCTAAAAATAACCCCAAATTCAGCTTCCCAGAGGACAGCAACTGAGCATCCCCCAGACCCCAGCTTGCMTGTGAAACTGTCCCAGTAATTTTGGGATCTCTGCAATATGTAATTGGCAGCCCGGCTGGTTGGGTGTGCGAGGCACTGCTGCAAGTCCCATCCCCWGGGAGCAGGGGCACCTGCTGCAGCCCCCCCAGGACACGTGGATCCTTCCTGAGCTGCCCTACCCAGTGTGTTTGGGGTTCAGCATCACACCTCGGGTGCCCACCCTGCAGCAGCCCCGTGCTGGGATGCAGAAACTGAATCTCTGCAGGCAGAGCTGGAGCAGGGCGTGGAGAGCAGGATGCATGTTTGGAGAGGCAGCCCCGTGATGGAGAGGAGCACTGGGATGAAGGTCTCCATCAGGTGGCCAGASCCAAGCACGGCAGCAGGAGAGCAGCACGGCTCCCAAAGCCCTGCAGCAGCAAATCTTGGAATGGCTGGGRACAGACACATCCTAAGAGTGTCCTCAGGCCCCTGGGAGAGGACTGGGACTCCACTCTACGGGGGAACCTCCAGCCCAGAGGTGGAAGGYTCCAGCCAGAATTGTCCCCAGGCACTCAGGAGTGAGACCACACAGCAACTCCTGCCTGGGAAAACATTATCAGCAAAGYAGAGCATGTTCAGCAACAGAAGTCTGACACCCCCTTACACTCAGAAGGAAAAATATGGAGGAAAAGGGGGAAAAAAAAAACTGAATAAAGAGAGCAGAGGGGGAGAAACTTTTCCTGGAGAGCCGTGTCTCTGCCAGGCAGGAGAACCCKGGGAGGGAGGCCAGGTCCTCGAGGGGGCTTTGCCATCACACCCTGCCCGGGTGAGGGGTTTGGAGCGTCAGGGGCGCAGCAGGGGCCCTGGGGGGAAGGAAGGGACAGATCCCTCCTCCTGGCTCCGGGAGCATGCAGAGTCACGCGTGTGGGGTTGAACACGTGTGGCAGTGTGGGGGTGGGCACGGGAGGGGGGCAGGTCACATTGCGGAGCTCACGGGGACATGAACACGAGCACCGGTGGGAGTGAGGCAGGGGCACAGAGCCACCCACGGGCATCCATGGGSTCTCGGGAGTGGGGGGCTCTTCCTCTTGCCCCTGGGGTTCCAAGGGGCTGCTGGGGGCTGGCAGCACAAAGCTGGAGAAGGAGAGCACTCCCACAAACATCCAGATGCACCGGCCCCCATGGCAGCCCCCTGCCTCTTGGGGTGGGGAATGAAACCCCCTTTTGTGTGGGAGTGACACGTGGAGGAGTTGTTCAGGGGCAAGCAGGCATTTTGGGGACCATCGTGTCCCCGGGGCACAGATGGCACACGTGCATTGCCTGCACCCCAGTGAGGGTGCCCGGTGTGCTCTGCCCATGCCAGGGTGGGTCTGGAGGTCATCAACCCTTGGGGACTGTGGCCCCATCCCTGTGCCCATCCATGGCTGGAATCAGGGCCCTGCTCTGCCCCCATGGTCCCCTGGGTGGGACCAGGCAGGAGCGGGAGGCTGGATGCAGGGATGCAAGGTGGGGATGAAGGTGGGTAATGGTGCAATTAATGGAAAAGCCATTAGACCTTTCTCCTCCTCCCCCTCCTCTTCCTCACTCCGCCACTTGCTGTCCTCCTCCACTTCCACCTCCTTTCTTCTCTCCCTCTCCGCTCCTCCTTCTCTCTCCCCTCTCAAAGATTTCTCCCTATTTTTGTCTGGTTAGAACCTTTCTTTTCCTTTTAACCCCTTCCTTGGCAGCCTGAAAGGGAACTCAATCCATCTCAGCTGTCAAAGGCAATGCCCTCCCAGMCGACACAGGGAGCCCCTGCTCCTGTTGTGGTGGGGGTCCTGCTGCTGCAAAATCATCCAGAAAYGGGACAAAAGCTTAGTAGGGGGAAACAGGACAAAAGCTCTTCTGGGGGAAGTCAGCAGGTGGAAAGTGCAAGGGATGGTGTAGACAGAGGGGTGGTGCTGGATCCCCAGTGAGTGCCAGCGGGGACTCAGAGGGAAACCCCATCCCTGAGGTTTTGGACCTCAAAACTCCACTTTTATTGTGCTTTTYGTGCTTTCTTATGTTCAGCACAGCAGAGAGGCGAGTCAGCAGCAGGAAGTCCAGGGGACTGGGGAGGGGAGACCTTTGTCCTATTCCCACTCTGAAACTTCCCCCTTTCTGCCCTGGCTTGGGCACCACRGGGACACATCACCCCAGGACAGAGCCTTTTGCTCCCCTCTAGCTGTGCTTCAGGCCAGGCTGCTCACCCCTCTGCGAGGGACCCTCGGGAGCTGCTCCACGGGAACCCCACGGCCCTCGGGGGGCTGTGATGGGGAAAAGGGGGAGCAGGGAGCAGCCAGCCCTCCCTTGCACCGCGATCAGGGCCAGCCCCCCCGGGGACCCTGGCTGAAGGCGGGACGGTGTAGGGACCTGGGGACCTGCCATGGTTTCTCCAGCTTCTCCTGACACACTTCTGCTCCATCTGCTCCCTCCTACCTCAGCGTGTCCCCATCCCACAGCCCTCCAGGGCCCCCAGGAATGCTGCTGTAGGTACCAGCAGGGCCTGTATTTTATTTTTTTTTTTGGGGGGGGGGATAAGCAGTTGCTGGGGTGACAGCATCCTGCAACATGGAAACCACGGTTTCCATGGAAACCTATTTTGCCCCAATTATTTTACCACTGCCACAGCCTTTAATTTGCCTTTAATAGTTGTATTTTGGATATTCCCCCCTCTGCAGCAGGTGGGTGACCCCCGGGCCGGGTCCCCAGCAGGGCCCCGGTCCCCACGGAGGGCGGCGGGTTTGGGAAGCAGTTGCCCCGGCAACAGAAACAGGGCGTTTCTGGCAGCGGTGGTCACCATGGGGACGGGGATGCTGACGAAGGCTTGTGAAGCTGAGAAGACAAATTGCCCTCATCATTATCTCTGGGCTTGTCAATCAAACATATTCCCTTATTTACCTCGGCGAGGAGAGAGCCCCGGGAGCACACGGAGAGGGAGGGAGCKAGAGGAGAGCTGCTTGCCCCAAACTCCGCACCGGGGAGGGAGCATTTCCAGCCCCTCGGGATGGCCACCATCACCTGCAATCGCTTCACTGAGGAGTACCAGCTCTTTGAGGAACTGGGCAAGTAAGTTGGAGACGGGGCTGGGATGCTCAGAGCGGGGCTGTGCCCTKACTGGGAAAGAGACTCAGCGGTGCTGAGAACTCCTGGAGATGGGGGAGAGGAGACGGGCACGGAGAGAATGCGATGGGAATCGGAGAGGGCACTCGGTGAGGATGGGGGCTGCCAGCCCCAGACCTGCTTCTCTGTCCCTCCCCGAGTTCAGGGGCTGCTCAGGGGTGTTTGGCTGGGGGATCGGGACACCCCAGAGGTCTCCAGCAACCTGGGAAGGGATCGGCTGCTCCTCTTACGGAAAAGCCGCTCCCAAAAAGAAGGCTGCCGGCTCCCTTGGGAAGTTCTCCAGCCGGGAAGAGGGACAGGACAGCTGAGGAGGAAAGCCAAAGCAGAGGGCAACCCTCACCTTTGTTTAGGGAATTCATCTCTGTGGATTCACCGGGGTTTGACTAGACCTGCAGGAGAGCCAGCCCTCCTGGCAGCCCCCGGAGAATCCCGGTGGCTTTTGCACAGATCCAGGGGATATTCCCCACCCCTGTCCCGGTGCGGGTGAGCCACAGCCCTGCCTGACCCGGCTGGGGAGGGCTCAGCTCCTCCGGTCCGGGTGTCATCGCGTGTGCCTGATCGATGTGTCTGTGTGTGTGTGTGTGGGTGTGTGTGGGTGTGCAAACAGAACTGCCTGTGCACAGCGAGGGGATCTGGGGAGCACTGAGCACCCCGGGCTGCAGCAGGGGATGCCAGGCAGGTTCCCCGGGTGGAGGGATGCTCCTGTCCCGCCCAGTGTGTGGCTGTAAAACAGGCACAGGAGTGAGCAGGCGTGYGCCTCTGTTTTGGTTTCTGTGCCTTTTTTTTGAGCTGGCGTGTAAATCTGGGCCGTGCGGCCAGCGTCCCCCCGGCGTGGCTGGCAGCGTGCTGGTGGGCTCGGGGGCTCCGGAGGGGAAGCTTTGTCCATCCACRGGCACAGGGATGCTCCAATCCCGCAGCCCCGCATCGCCCGGGCGCAGAGCAGCCCGTGCCTAAATGTGTGCCCACATGSACGTGGGCATGTGAAATGGGGGAGAGGGCAGCGATGGGCAAATGGAGAGGCTGAAACAGGAGGATTTTGTGCTGGGCTGAATGCTGTTCATGTTCTCCGTGGCAGCAGGGTGCTGCTACAAAGTGCAGCTCCGTGGAGCAAACGGACCCGCATCCCAGGACATTCGTGTCCATCCCCTCGGCATCAGGGTGACAGAGAGGGGCTGGTGGAGAGCGGGGCATTGGGTTGGGGTCCCTGTGGCAGGGACAGCCCCAGCTGGCACCGCAGGCAGGGGGATGGGTACCCGCTGGGGAGCTGGTGGCAAGGTGGGATGTGGGACCTGCTTTTTCCAGACTTTTCCTGTTTTTTCAGGGCTCTCAGGCTGGGTGGTGGTGGCAGGGGGTGAGCAGGTGAGGCACTGGCTGATGGTGCCTGGGGTGAGGCTGCGGGGCTGTGGCTGGGCAGAGGTGGCTGTGGAAGGGAGTTCGCAGGCTGGGAGTGATGGGGGAGGACCAGGAGGGCTCCTGAAGGTACCTGGGCTGTGATGCTTTGCTGGGTGAGTGCTGAGCCAAGGGCTGAGCACCCAGGCTCCGTGGCTGCCTGCGTTACCCGGCACTGTGGTATAAAACCACCTGGACAGACGCATTTTAACAGGAATAAAGGAGCAAAGCTGGCTCAGCGGCTCCCCAGCCCTGAGAGCATAGCACCCGACCACCCCGGGTCTGGGATGATGCAGGGGCAGCATCCCCAGCTCGGTGCATCCCCCAGTTTTTCCATCCACTCAAGAGGGCAGGTACAGCCGCAGCACTGAGGTGCTCCGGAGCTGGGGGCTCTATCGGGCTAGCCAAGGTGCTGTGGGGCTGGTTGGGGATTTTCCACTGGGATGGTTTCCAGCACATCCTGGCACATTCAAAAATCAGAGGTTTCCCATGGGGAAATTTCCGCTTCATGGGCTTAGAGAGGGAAATCAGGACGAAGTGCCGCACCTCTGCTCCGCTGCGGCAGCTGCTCGCGGTGGGAAGCGCCGTTCCTCCTCCGAGAGATGCTCCCGGTGCCGGTCGGGGTGCGGGTGTCCTGGCACGGGTGGGCACAACGGCTCTCCCTGCACCGGACCCTGCTTGGGAGCAGTGTCCTGCAAGGATTCGGAGCAGAAAGGGTCCACCTTGAGTTTGCTGTCCCCAAGGGACCGGGACGGGCCGTTGTGGGGGACACGGTGTGTCCCCAGCCTGGCTGGCAGAAGTCTGGGTGCCAGGCTGCTGCACCCGCCCTGTTTCTCTGCGTTTCCTCGGCTGTCACCCATTCTGACACCCGGGGCAGGAGGGGGTTTGAGATGCCACACACCTAATGGTGGCACCACGGTGGGGCTTTGGGGGCAGGCAGAGAAGGGCAGGGAAATCTGCAGAGTCCGTCCTGCAAGACAAGCCCTCGGCACATCTCTGCACCTCGCAAGCATGAGAGGACATCTGTCCCGAGCGGGGGACACGGAGCTGGGGAAAACCCACTCSTGCGGCAGCCCCCGCAAAGCTGAGCAAGCCAAGGGCTGCTCCGATCCCCCACGCCTGCAGGAGGAACCGGGCGGAGGGCGGGGGGCAGCAGGGGGGGACGCGGAGAGGATCCTGCCCACGGCCCCCCGGAGTAGGACAAACATGAAGTGCAGCTCCATCGGCGCCTCCAAACCCGCCCCCGCAGCAGGTTCAGGGAGAGGCTGGAGACAATTACCGTGCCGAGCCGTAGGATCAGCCCCTCCACTCCCGGAGCTGCAGGAGAGGGGGCTTATTAAAAGAGAGAGAGAAAAAAAAATGGAGGAACAAAAAATCCCCAGCCCACACTCTTCTCTCTAGAAAGGAGATAAAATGCCTCGGAGGAGGAGGAGGTGTTGAAGAGAGGGAGGGCGGCAGCAGCACAGCCGGGCGCTGGCAGGGAAGGTGTGAAAAAGGGAGAAGCGGAGCATCCTGGTGGCAGAGCCACTGCTTGAGCTGGGGGAGGCCGTGGGGACAAGGCATGGGGTCATGCCTGGCCTGGGGACAAAGGGACAGAGGCTGCAGGGCTGGGGCTCAGCGGTGCCAGGGCTCGGGTCTGCAGGGACTGGTGCTGCGCTGTGGGTCCAACATCGCCCTGCTCTGGCAGCCAGCCGGGGGACAAGGACACGGTCTGTCCCCGTGGCCATGCAGGTGATGTAGCCATCCCTGCTCAGACTGGGACACGCTGTCTCATCCGAGCCAGGCAGAGATGGGGGTCCTCAGCTGCCACCAGGGCTGGGGTGATCCCTGTCTGAAGCACCCCAGGAGGGTCTGCTGCCCCTGGCCAGGGAACAGGACGTGATTCCTTCCTTCCAGAGGGGTTTCTTGCACCACACTGGGGCTGAGCTCCCTGGCACCCCCAGCACTGCCTGCAGTGCCCCACAAGCCCCTGTGTGCAAGGAGATGCCGCCCTTGCTGGGAAGATGCTGGATTTAGMTGGAGCAAAGGGGGCTTTCTATCCCTAGGCTGGAAAGCACCTACATGGGATTGAGTAGCAAGGCAGCAGCCAGGACAGGGAGTAGAGCCGGGCTGGGGGTCAAACACCCAATGTCAAGGGCTCTTGGCCAGTGCAGACCCACTGGAGGACCTGAGTGGAGCAAGGATGGGGTACAGCAAGTGTGTCGTATCCCTGGGTATCCTGCACCTGCATCCAGTGTTCCATGTTCCACCCACCCTCCAGGCACACAGGGATTTTCTTGTGCTTTACAGACCACAAATAGACATTTGGTTTCTGTTAGGAAGGTCTGGAGGAGCCAAAAACCAGGAATGCAGCCAGGGATGTGAAACAGCCGCTGCATCCCGCTTCCCATGGCTCCTCCTTTCTCGCCGTTCAGTTCAAATAAATAACGGAGCAAGTGGTTGTGGGCACTGGGACTAGGACTGACCATTGGTCCCCAGCCTCCAGTGGATTGGGACACCTACACCCCTCCAGCCTCATGCTGTGCTCTGCAGTGAAACCCCGAGCTGAGGTGAAATCCCAGCTTGCTGCACTCTGCTGCAGACTGTCCTGCCACTGCAGAAACATCACACATGTCTTTAGGGAAAAAAATAGAGAAGATGGGCCCCAGGGATCCACAGGAGCCCACAAACCCTACACAGTGTGGGSTTCCCAGCAGGATCAAGAGAGCAGCACCACAGGACTGCCAGCGGCTTTGGTCTCCCTACTCATGGCTAGCTGGATGTGAAGCATTTCGCCCACCCTTTCCAGTTAATTCCTCCCCAGGATTCAGGGATATTAACAGCTCAGCTCTTYCAGCAGCCAGGATTAAATGGCAGGATGGGGAAGCTGGGAAGCACCAGGATGTTTTCCCCCAACTCCTGCCTGGCACGTGCCGTGAGCGATGCTCTGCGTGGCAGCACTGGSTGCGTGGGCTGCCAGCACTGCTGGGGCTCCATCCCCATCCCTCCACACYCGCTGCTTGCCTGCTCTCCTAAAAATCGCATTCAAACCCAAATTGCTCGTCTCCACCCGCCCCCGCCGCTAAAATCAATTATCCGCCGCTCTCGCCAGCCCGCGGCCTTTTATTCCTCGGCAGGGAGCTGGAGTGGGGTGCAGGGGAGTGGGGGGGAGGTGGGGCAAGAGGTGGGATTGCTTTTGATAGTTGTTATTTTAGCGATTGGAGAGCTTTGGCAGGAAAGGGAACCTGGCATAAAGGTTGTGCTCAGCGGGGCTGGAGGGTGTATGTGTGTGTGATTGCAGTGCTGCAGTTCCCAGCATTGTGCTGCCACTGGCAGTGCCCCGAGCTGGCAGGACTCAGGGTATGGAGTACAGGGCAGATGGGAGTCTTTGGAGTGTCCCAAGCACTTGTGCTCGCTCTCCTGCCAGACCCCAGGAGAGCTTTGCATGTTGGCTCATGAAAGGTGCAGCGGCATCCACTCCTGTCCAGCTCGGCTCCATCCTTGCAGAGTCCCCATTTTGTCCCTGCCTGGGTGACAGCTTTGCAGTCGGGGGACCTGGCACTGGTCACAGCTGCCAAGTCCTGCTGTGATTGGAAGGTCTAGAACAGTCAGGGCCACACAGACTGAAGTAGCCAAGAGCTGTAAACATCACGGTGTCCCTGTCCCAATCAGCACCTATCCCCATCCCCATCCCTGTCCCCATGCCTCCGGCTGCCCCTGGCCCCACAGCCACATCAGGGCTGAGCTGTGCCCCTGTCCCTGCCAAGCCCTTCACCTCTGGCTTCTTCTGTTCCCAGAGGCGCYTTCTCCATCGTCCGGAGATGCGTGAAGGTGCTGGCAGGACAAGAGTATGCAGCCAAGATCATCAATACCAAGAAGCTCTCTGCTCGAGGTAAGCACTCAGGGTGTTTTGGSGGAGGCAAGAGGCGAGCAGGGCTCRTGGAGTGGGGAATTTGTCCCCTCTGCACGGTGCTGTGACGGTGCCTCAATGTGCATTGGGGTGTGTTTGATGAGGAACCCCCATCTCACCTGTCCCTGCTGTGGTACCCACTGAGCTCCCTGACGGATGGGAACGTCCCGAGGAGGTTCTTGGTGGCTGCTCGCCACATCCCATCGATCACAGGGGTGCTGTGCCAGGGCTCAGGGAGCTCCCATACCCCATATCCTCGGGCTCCTTGCCCGAGGAGCCACTGGAGCACATTTCTGTCCCTGACACCCACACCACCCTGCACACCACATTGCAGCAAAATGGTTCTGTCCTTGCAACAAGTCAGAGCATTGCCRRCTTCAGGYKCAATGTAGCACGGTTATTTTGGGARGATCRSCTCCTGAGAGGACCCTACTAACCCCCCATCCCTGCTCTGGGCTTTTCTTACATACCTACATCAATGAAATGAGAACATCCCTTCAGGTAAGGGTTTGACTTCCTTTCTACCCGTAGATGTGCCCTCACTGCTGTCTGGGGAATGGCTTTGTGGAGCACATTGTTGGGTCTGCCCTGGTGGGTCCATCCCAGCAGCTCTTTGGAGTGAGGCTGAGCTGAGCCAGCACAGAAATCATCAGCCAGTCCTTGCCCCAAGGCAGGGCCCCTCTGCCCCAGGTACCTGGCAGAGGAGCTGTGATGAGGACAGAGAGGATGAGGCAGCAGATGCCGTGTCCCCGCTCCGGCTCCTCCCYGGCTGTCGGGAGAGCAGGATGGGCGCTGGGAGGAAGCGCCCAGCCAGGACGGTTTAATTAAACCCCCTCGGTGTCTCCTCCGATTCCACTGCTGACCTGCCGAGGCAAAACTGAAATGCAGAAAAGAGTGACAAGCTCCTTTCTGACCTGGAATGAGAGTTGCACTCTCCCTCCCACGGTGCTGCTGAAGCGCCACGGCAGCGGCACTGAGCCCCTCCAGCACTGAGCCCTGCCCTTCTTCAGGGATGCAGACCATTCTCTTCCTCCAAAGCCGAAGGCTGGGCTCCGGGCAGGGTGTGCAGTGCTGGGCTCAGCCCTTGGCTCCTGCCCGTGTACCCCAGCTGGTGAACGCCTCCCAGTTTCCAGGGCTGCCTGGAGCAGCAGATTGAGCCGCCCTCCCTTTGCTCCCTCCTGCCTCCGCTCGCCTCCTCCGGCAGTTTGCCCCTCTCCATCCTCTCCGRGGGTTTGTGCTGTCCCTGCAGTGCCTGGCAGTCCCCTGGAGAGGCTTCTCTGGGGTTATTTTCCCTGCTCTGCCTGCTGGAATCACCAGGGACTGTGSCTAATGATCTGGATATTTCTGCAGTGCTGGTAGGGAGGATGGCACGTCCCCAGACACAAAGGGCAGGAGGGAGAGAAGTGGGAGAAGGTGAGAGAAGCTGCAAAACATCCCCAGCCATGGTCTGTTTCTTCAGACATCCTCCTGGGTGCCAACACAGAGGGGCCTGCAGGTTTTAGAGGAAAAACAGGGTTTGGATGTGTGCAGGAGCTGGGTTTGTGGGCGAGAAGAGGCTGTAACCTCCCCAGAGAAGTGCTCGCCYCACTGGTCACACTGTCCCTCCATCCCAGCCCTGTCATCCACCCCACAATGGACTTCAGTTGTGAGAAGCAACAGCCTCAACTCCAAACTCTCCCTGTCACCCTGTCCCTCCCTGGGAAGGCTTCACCCATCGGGGAAACATCGTGGGGAGCTGAATGAGGCCACCAAGGCTACCTCAGCCTTCAGCTCCCAGAGCCCAGCACAGGCTGCAAAACTCACCCCAAGCTCCAGGGTGCCCCTCGGACAGGATGCTGAGCCCTGGGGRAGGCTCCAGCCCTGCAGAGAAGGGGCTGCGTCGCTTTGGCGGTCGGAGCCGCCCAGGTTGGGTTTGATGCGGAGCGAGACTCCGGGGTGTGAACCTGCAAGGTAGCAGTGATAGCACCGAGAGACAACAGCCCTAATTATATCCTCGCTTGTCCTGCCTGCTGAGCTCCTGCACGAAATGCCTCCAGTCAGGCACCTCCCTGCAGAGTAGCTGGGTCAGGTGTGAGCAGGGAGAGAAGTGCAGAGGAAGAAACAAGATGATTTGCAAATTCATTCTGAGCTGTCCCAGGGCGGAGGATTTTTTGGCTCAGCTCAACTTGCTTTGCCCAGAGCTCTGTTGTCTCACATCCCCAAGCCTGCTAGAAGCTGGGGAGTGGGATCTGAGCTTCCTGTTTGGAGAAAGGCACCAGTTCAGAGACAGATTCTGCAGTGAGGAGAGCATTCCCTGGCGTGGAATGGCTGGCGATGGTGAGGGGAGTGAAGCCATAGCCTTCTTTCATCCTGACACTTCTTGCTGGTCGACTCTGTCTTGAACTGCTCAAATTGTACCATGTGGGGCCAGAAATGTCCTGGCTGATTGCCTGGATGAACAGGAGAAAAGGGAACAGTGCTGCCGGCAGGGATAACCCAGACAAATCCAGGGTATTTGGGAGGTGATCAGAGATTGTTCATCAAACAAAAGGGAGAGGGCAAGGGATCATTCCAAACCCGAGACTGCCAATGGCATCAGTGCCTGGGGGCTTAGCCAGGGATTGCATTCATGCTGGGATACTGCCCATCAGGTTCTGATACTGAGCTTATCCCCAAATCCATAATGCTTTAGTGAAAAAAAAAGCTGCTTTGTCTGCCCAGGTACCCTGTGCCAACAGCTCCTCTGAGAGCCCAACTGAAGCTGAAAACAGTTGATTCCCTTCCTCAGATCSTAATTTAGGGCTCTTGCCTCTTTCAGATCACCAGAAGCTGGAACGAGAAGCCCGGATCTGCCGTCTCCTGAAGCACCCCAACATTGGTAAGCTCACCCTGCACCCCGTTACCGGTGCTCTGTGCCTGGCTCCCCTGCCCAGCTCCCCTCCCATGTCCCAGCCAGGGCCAGGGTTTCTCCTTCCATAATCCAGCCCTGTCTGCAGCAGCATGGTCTGTTTGTCCCAGAGGCTGAGAAAAGCTTGGCGCTGTCCTGCCCGGTTGCTCTGCAGAGCCCTTCCCGTGGGAAGCACCAATATGAAGAAAGGCCCCCACTGGGCATAGCGGGACTGAAGTAGGTCCTGACTAACCCACTTGGCCATAGCTCCCTCAGGGAGAGCGGAGCCCCAGGAGGCTGCAAGAGGCTATTTTTACTGCTCTCCCCCCGCTCGGGTGCCGTGTTGCTCTGCATGCTCCAAAAAGCGGCTGCAGCTCGGAGCAGCAGCAGCAGCAGCGCGGGGCGTGTAGGAGGAGCGATGGCGGGGGGAAGCGAAGACTTTCCCACCGACCGTCCATCTGAAAGTAGCCTCCTTCGGAAAAGCTGTTTCAGGAAAACTCCCGAGCCCCTGCAAAAGACAAAAATAGGCCAGAAGSAGAGAGAGAGGGGAGGAGAAAAAACTGCAGTAAAAAAAAAAAAAAAATCGCAAACTCCATCCTGAAAGTGATGCCGATGCAGACTCTTGATCCCTGTGGATAGTTGGGATGAACCCCCTCGTTCCTCTGCTGCACCCCGGGATGTACCAATCCCAAAGAGATCCTGCAGCTTTTGGGAAAGCATTCAGTGGTTTCTGCAGCCCTCTCAACCCACAGTCGGGAGCTGGGAGGGTTCCCCTGCAGCTGAGCTCCTCCTTGGCCCCCTCACTGCTCCGGTGACCTGGATCCAACCTTCCCCAGGAGCTGCTGCAGCAGATCCAGGGAGCTAGATCCAGGGCCACTGGGACGAGCCATGTGGCTCCTGTCCCATAAATATTTCAGCTCCAAAAAAGACTGTCAGCTCCCATCTGTCTCGGGCACACGGCTCCATGGCAGGTCTCCCCTGCATTGCCGGGGTGCTGGACCCTGCAGGATTCCCCAGYCTCTGCTCCAGCAGGACCAGGAGCTGTCCTGCAGGGATCCCTCTGGGATGTCCAGCCTCCCATCTGCACCAAAATACATGTGGGGATTGCTGAGACCTGAAGGAAACGCACTGCAAAGTGTGTGAATGGGAAGAAATACTGAACCCAGAGGAGCTCACGGCATGAGATCTGCACGATGGTACCCAGGCTCCCCAGGTTCCCCAAGTTCCCCAGGTTCTCCAGGTTCCCAGCTTGGCCACAGCTTCTTCCTACTGCTGTATTCCACCCTTCCCTCTCCATCCCCTGCCCATGGGGCTGGTGAGTTCTCTGAGAACCAAAACACCTCACCTGTCCCTGTCCTTGTCCCCCATCCCTACACTCTGCCCCATTTGGCTGTGGTCTGGCAGGTTCAGAGCTGCAAAGGCTGGAAGGGGTTAACAGCATGCGATGCTAACCAGCCCAATCTGCTGCTATTTATACCCAGGAGGYTCTTCTCCACCCCCCACTCCACACCCTCTTTCCTTTCACCCCCCTCCACTGCTCCTGCTGCCTGGAAACTTGGGCTCGCATCTTCCCTTGCGCGCAGCAAAGGCGGCTCGTTACCCACACAGGAGCTGGAGTGAGCGCTGCCACTGCAGAGCAGCCTGTGTGAGGAAGAGCAGGCACTGCTGCTGGATGAGGCAAAGCAGCTCTGTCCAGCCCTCCCTGGGATAATCACCCCAGCTCCCAAGGGGCTTTGCTGTCCTCTTACTTGTTCCCTGCAGTGAGGTGGGGTCCTTCCATCTCCCGTGGSAATGCCGTGCTGCAGTTCCCAGAGGAACCATCCTGTGCTCTGCACCGTGCCTGCTGGAGAGCCTCACATGGAAAGCTGTGCACGGGCAGCCAGGAGCAGGTCCAGGTCCCCACGACCCCACAGCACTGGGTGATATTAGGCAGAGCTGTGTTTCCATTCAGGGAAATCTTGCTTTATTGGGAAAACCTTTGGCTGCACCTAGCCCTGGAGTTTGAACTSCAGGTACTTATCCTCTGACTCTCGTTCCCGAAGCTGTGTCCTGCTCCTGCCTTGGCTCTCAGCTCTCAGCTGGAGTGGTTTGGCCGGCACGGCTCTCTCTGACTATGGTCARTAACAGATACTTGTAGGATCAGGTTATATTTAGAGCAGCTGCTCCCTCTTRTACCTTCTTGGCTCCTGGCAGCCACAGGCTTTGGGACTTCCCAAAGGGAAYGTAACTGGACCATATGCTTATGCTTACTATGGTCCTATCGGCACTGAACTCACCTAATCCCCCTGAGAATACTTCGGCTTCTGTAGGATTCCAGGCGTGATACCCCCAAATCCCTCCCAGGGGAGATGAAACGGGAGGAAATAGGTTTTTTTTCCAGCAGAGGAAGGCAGAAAAGCTGGGATTGTATGTTGGAGAGAAACAGAGCAGACGCAGGTGTGGGAGCACAGGGGATGTCTGCAGAGGCCAGCAGTGAGGAAGGATAACTGGGGAAAAAACGAGCATGTTCTGTCAGTAGTTAAGACCATGAGAGAGACAGACAGGAAAGATGCTGCCCAGCTCATCAGACCTCACTTGCCCTGTGCCCTGGCCAGGTGAGGTGACGCTGCTGGCAACACGCTCCTGGCAGCCGCTGGATTTGCCCACAGAGCTTGGAAAAAGGAAAAGGACCAGAGAAGTGGTGTTTGCTGTTCTGGCAGATAAGAGCCACACAGTGCAGTGTCTGCGCTCAGTGCTATCTCCCCTGGCTCAGACTGAGTCTGGAGGATGTTTCCATATAGGGCTCAGATGATTTAGATGTGGTAAAAGGGGCTAGGAATAAAAATTCCCACAAAATCTCTCACCCGGATGTTTCTTTTTTCCTCCCTGACTCCCAACATTCTCAAATATGTTCAAAGTTGTTATCAGTTGAAACCAGGTGAGAGAGAGGAAGCATTAAATATTCATAGTCTCAAGGGAATCAAACAAAATACAAGGTGGGAGACAGAGGATGCTGGGCAAGTCTCTGTTTATCCATCCTACCTGTTTCTGTGCCTGTCTCCTTGCTGCACGCCTGCCTGCTACATGTGAGCAGGGATCTGAGCCTGAGAAACCAGCACGCAGCTGCAGGGTGACAGGTCTGGATCTGGCCAAGGGGACAGGGTGCCAGGAAATGGGGAAACTCATCCCGTGGAGATTCCCAAGGAGAAAAGGAAGGTCATGAGCAGAAAATAAAAAAAGCCTGGTGGGTGCCAGAGTTGTCAGCCCAGCACCCTGCTGAGCTCTCCCTCTCCTGAGGGGACTGGGGACACCCATGCCTGCAGCCTGTCCAGTGCCCAAGATAGCCCAGCAGCTGCCTGGAACCTTGGCCAGACACAGCCCCGGGCAGTCCCTGATTTGGATGTGACCTTTGAGCCTTGCACAACAGGCCCAGGCTGGGGCCATGGCTGGGTCCTCTGGTGAGCAGGGTCTCCCACCAGCCAGCAGCAATCACRAGAGGAATAGCCCTGCTGTGCCCTTGCCCAGCTCTGCTTGTGCCCCAAGGGGAACAAAGGCATTCCCAGGGAGCGGGGTGGGAGCCAGGTGTACCCCATAACCCTTCTGTCTCTGCTGCAGTGAGGCTCCAYGACAGCATCTCTGAAGAGGGCCACCACTACCTGATATTTGACCTGTGAGTATGGTTCACTGCATCCCCTAATCCACGGGCAGCTCTGTGCTTCTCCCGGGGTGACACAACCTCCCCCTCACCCGAGCCCTTCCCTCGGGCTTGGTTTGAACCAAACCAGGTCCCCCCAGCTGGGCGGAGGGCAGGTCCCTTTGCTGTACCCCCACTTCTCCCCTCATGCATGGTGCAGTGACATTTTTTGGGGCTTGCCAGGGCGGGGTGTGCTGTCAATCAATCCAGCTGCCCCTGTTTTCTCRCAGGGTCACCGGTGGGGAGCTGTTTGAGGACATTGTGGCCAGGGAGTACTACAGTGAAGCGGATGCCAGGTGAGCTGGGCCATGGAGAGARCAGCAGTTGTCCCTTTCTCCCACAAGCTGCTCCCTCCCCAGGTCCTACATGACTGTGTTTCTGCAGCACCAGCTCATTCTGTACTGGGAGGTGTTTTACAGCCACTCTGCAACACATACTCATAGACCAGAACTGTGGTGCAAAAAAAAGCAAAAAAAAAACCCACCCAAAATGCTCTTTTTAACTCACTCAACTCCTGTGCCAAGAAGTGCATGTGCTGCCACAGGACTGGTTTCCTTTTTGAATCAGATGGCTCCCGGCCACTGCCCACAGCATCCTCATTCCTCGGGATGTTGGGACAGCCAAAATSTGACCTCACTGTAAATGAACAGGGTGTTGGGGGCTCCCTGGTCTGGGGGCACCAGAACTGCCTGGTCTGGGGGTACCAGGGCTCACCAGGCTGGCAGGGAGGAAACCCAACACCAGCCTGGTGCCCAGCCAGGGCCATGACAGCACGGATACCCTGCGGATGTCGCTCCTTCCCCTCGGAGCTGCATTCCAGCCGTCTGCAAGCGTTCCTCTGGCATTTGCCACTTGAAAGCACTGAGGAGGAGCAGTCAAGACAGGCTGTGCTGGAGCTCTGCTCCCTCCCACACTCCCACTGGCACTTTCCAGGTACCCTGCTGCAGAGCCATTTCAACCACCCCTTTGGTCCCTGCAGCTCAGAATTAGTCTYATTCTTTTGAGGGGGCCCTCTCCAATCTCCAGAGATCACTGTGCCTCTTGGCTTTGCCCCCAGGCTAAGCACAGCCTGGATCTATGTCCAAGGGGGTGGTAAACTCTACACTACCTCTCTGCACGGAAATATCCTTTATTTCTAGGCAGAAAACAATCTCATTTAATGGGCTGCCTGCAYTGAATCCACTTACAGCCCATCCACTTATTAGTGTCATACAAATAAAATAAAATACATGTAAATAAAGACCTTCTGCCTTGCACACAAGCTGTTTTGGAGCAGAAGCGATCAGCGCCTCTGTCTTTTTCCCTTCCTGTCTCACGCACACAGCAGAGCTGGAATGTAATGAACTAGATATAAAGCAAACAGACGCAGCAAGAGCCACCTGCATTAGAGGAGAGCAGGGAAATGGGGCTGGAGCAAAGGTTGCACAGAGCACATCTGCTCTGCCGGGGYTTAGAGACCAAATCTTCGCTGGCATTGTGGTTCCACTGTTGGTYTCCAGCTCCCTGCCTGCAGTGTTGCTCCTGTGGAGTGCCCACCAAACTCCAGCTCACAGTTACTTGGTGTCCAATAGCTCTGGTGGGGTCTGACTGGGTTAGAACTGCTCCCCACAGGCGTGTGCGTTTTGGTGGAAGGGGATGCTGAGCTGTGCTGCTGGGAAGTGTGATGGGAAGAGGGGGAGAAGGGTGAAATGCAGCAGAATAGAAATGTCTGACAAAACCTGCCTCAGCTGCCACTTGTGTGAGCTTCCTCCTCTCTCCCACAGCCACTGCATCCAGCAGATCCTGGAGGCCGTCCTGCACTGCCACCAGATGGGGGTGGTTCACCGGGATCTGAAGGTAGGAGCGGCAGGGGGAGTGCCTGTGGGAGGACAGGGGACCCCAGCTGTGATGCAGAACACTGGAACAATGCCAGAGTCCTTCAGGGCTGCTGAAACAGCAGGGAGGAACAGCAGGAGTGTAGGGCTGCAGGAAACCCACAGAGCAAAGATCAGCTCCGGAGCAAAATGACACAAAGGGGATGGGGCTGGGAGGTCCTTGCAGTCCATGGTCTAAGGATCCAGGGACACCAGGACAAAGCAGTTAGAGGGCACATCCAGAGCCATGCTGGGAAGCTCCCCCTGCCAACAGCAGAGCTCCTGGGGSGTTTTCACTCCTCTCCAACCCCCATCTCTGTCTGCAGCCCGAGAACCTGCTGTTGGCATCCAAGCTGAAGGGTGCTGCCGTCAAGCTGGCTGACTTTGGCCTCGCCATCGAGGTGGAGGGGGACCAGCAAGCRTGGTTTGGTGAGTAGGACTGGCCTGAGGTGGGGTGTCCTTCAGCCCTCCTTGGCATCTTAGTTCAGGGGGGCTCCAGGACCCGGAGCCCCAGGTTATGGGAGAGTCCCAGCGGCACCAGCCCGAAAGGCACAGCGCACCAGGAGGTTGATGCAGAGCAAACAGCTCCACAGGGACTCTCTGTGTCACTGAGGTCTCCTAGTGAGATGGACAAGCCCACAATAAGGGCAGAGCAGGGGGAAGAAAACATCTTCCAAATGCTGGAARTGCACATTGGAACACTGCAGTCTTATGCACTCTCTGGGATTTGGCAGTGGCAGAGAGACACAGTTTGCTCTGCCCTCGGGAGTCACGGAGGTTGCTGGAAGGAGGGTGCCTGTTCCACCGGCTCAGGATGTACCAAGACTCTTGGCTCTTGCCGTGCCTGGCCGGGGAGCAGTCCCTGCTGGTGAGCTGTGTGGGGACAGGGGTGCCTGATGGCAGGTGTGACGGGCTGTCTGTCACAGGTTTCGCCGGCACCCCAGGATACCTCTCCCCCGAGGTGCTCCGGAAGGAYCCCTATGGCAAAGCCGTGGATCTGTGGGCTTGTGGTAAGTCAGAGTGGGGCTGGAATGCCGGGATGAGGCAGGCTGTTCATCCAGCATGTCCCAAGCTGCAGTTGCCAGTCGCATCTCAGGAAGGCCAGGGTGCAGGATTTACCCAAGACATGGCACATTACCCTGGGCTGCATCCACTCTCTCCCAGTCCTGTGGCACCCTTCTCCAAAGCATCAGCCCCCCTGCTATGTACCCAAAGCTCCCAATCAGGGGAGATGCTGCCTCTTTTCCCTGCGGTGCTGGTGGAGTCAGGCAGCGTCTCTGTGCAGCCATAGGGGAGCCTTTTCCCACCCACAATGGGGAAGAGCATCACCCATCCCATCCAGGGCCCACTCAGGCTCTGCGAGGTGGCTGCCACAGCCCTGAGCCTCCCCAAGTGCCGAGCATGTCAGCACAGAGCTGGACCCACCAACAAGCCTTTTGCTCTTTAAACAGTGAGCCAATCTTCACGTTTCCCTAATTTCTGTTTCCCTGCTTGAGTTTGACCAGTTSCCAGGCTGTGTGTGCTCCTCCCTCCAGCAATGAATTCTCTCCCACCGATCCCATCTCCTCTCCTGGGCAGGTGTCATCCTTTACATCCTGCTGGTTGGGTACCCACCCTTTTGGGATGAAGACCAACACCGACTGTACCAGCAGATCAAGGCTGGGGCTTACGATGTGAGTGGGTTTGTCTTGCTGCACCCTTTTATGGTCTCCTCTCTCTCCTGCTGTTGCTGCCTTGCAGCTTGCTGCTCTAGAAGATAAATTCAGACAGATGGGAACTAGGTTCTTTCCTCTGCCCTGCTCTTGGTGTTGGCCATGTTGTCAAGCCCAGGTGCACACATTGGCATGTTTCAGGGCCACTTTGTGGGAGAGAGAGGTCTTGTCCTGAGCTTTCCAAATTTCTTCCCCTCCTGCTTCTCAGTTTTCTACCTGGCAGCTCTTTCCTGTTGCTGCCATCTCTCCAACCTGTCCCAAGTTTCAGGAGAACCATCCCAAGTACAAAGGGGCTGTGCCATGTCTCACCCTGGTCTCTTTGCTTTGGCAGTTCCCCTCCCCTGAGTGGGACACAGTCACTCCTGAAGCGAAAGATCTCATCAACAAGATGTTGACCATAAACCCATCCAAGCGCATCACAGCAGCAGAGGCTCTGAAGCACCCCTGGATATCGGTGAGTTGGAGCCACAGGTAGAGAGATGTGGGGATCCACGAGGGTGGAACATCTCATTGGGGATCACATGTTAGCAAACATGCTGCCTGCTCTCTTCTCCATCCTGGGAAGATGGTTTCCTGGCACGGTTCCTCCCAGTGCTCTCAYAGCAGCATTTCCCCTGAGGTTTTACAGCAGAGAAAAGCTTGTGAATGCAAACAGCATGTTCCTGGGGGASCTGGTCACGGGAGGGACTCACATACCCCCAGCCCTGGTGGGGACAGGCTCATTTCTTGGTGTCACGCTGTGCTGGGGAGCCTTTCTTCAGAGGAAATGGGAGTAGGCTCATGGTTATCCATCCATCCATCCATCCATCCATCCATCCATCCATCCATCCATCCATCCATCCATCCATCCCAGCAGCAATCCCTCCACCCTTCACTGCATCCCACTGTTTCAGATGCTGGTTCTTGCTCTGAATCAGATCCTAAAGGCAGGAGGAGTCTGTGGGCTTGACCACATATGTGCAAACCCTGAGCACAGTGCTAAACATGGCTGGTCAGTCAAGGGGTTAACTCAGAGGGCAGCCAGTTCTCTGCGCCCTGCTGCTAYGAGAGCAGATCCTGCTGACTCCAGAGCTTCAGTCTCCCACTGCCCATTAAACTTTTATCTGCTGGTGCTGCTGCAGGCAGCTCTGGCCCGTGCCTCGGCCATGGGAGATCACACACGTGGGTGTGCATGTGAGAGCAGGGCTGAGAAGGGGGGAGCCCCTTCCCCCCAGCACTGCTCTGAGCCAGSTCTCTCTCCCCCCAGCACCGTGCCACTGTGGCGTCATGCATGCACAGGCAGGAGACGGTGGATTGTCTGAAGAAATTCAATGCCCGGAGGAAGCTGAAGGTAACTCTGTCCAAGCTGTCTGCAAAAAGCACAATCGGGTCATTGGTGGGCTTGTTCCCTGTATGGGGGGTGTCTGTGGGCAGTGGTGTGGGGGTGGTGGGCATTTGGGGACCCCCATTGTGAAGAAARGGAAAGAGACTGAGTGGGGTGGCAGCTTCATCCGGCTGGGATTCCCAAATGCCCATGGTGAAGGAAAACACTGAGTCACACTGCATACTGGGGTGAGGACTTTTCCATGGAGTTAGAGTCAAGAAAGCTTCTTTTTGGGGCTGGAGATGGGTCTGAGAGGCACAGTGAGACCCTTTGCTTGATGCCCAAGACACTTTGCAGCCAAGAAATAAAGTGATCCACAGACAGACAAAAACTTACCCACCCCAGCAGCCCTGCAGCCCTCCCCTTCTCGGATGCTGCCGTGCACCACAGCCTCCTCTGAAATCACCATCTCCCTGAGGCGCCCATCTCCCGGCTGGWGCTCAGCCTCAGCTGGCAGCACGGCGCTGGGAATGGGCTCTGGAAATCACAGTGGCTCCTGCAGAGAGGGATGAGGCTGGTCTGTGCCACAGCCGGAGCCATCAGCGCTCCAGGCCTGAGCGCAGCGTGGCACGGAGCAGTACAGCTGCAGGCTACTAACAAGATTATCAAGCAAACAAACTGGCTRTAAACTATTATTACTTTTCAGCTAGACAAGTAATCAAATTAGTTCAGGCRTACACTTCAATATAGTAATCCATTACTGTAAGCAATTAGTCCAAAGTAATCTCATTATACGCTGAGCAACTAGTTAGTAGACTCAGCTGSAAAAGGGGAAGGGTTTTTACGAATGTTGTTTTGTGGTGGTGATCTTTGTGTGGCTCCTGTGAGCAATCCCTGCCCTGCTGCTCTGAGCTGGCACAGCTTTAATTGCAATTAAATCTGGTTCCACTCCCGGTGGGTCCCCTTGCTGCCAGCTGCTGGCCCCAGTCAGTGGGCTTGTGCTTCATCTAGGACAGGGTAGTATGAGACTGAAAAGTGCCCTGCAGATATTTAATATCCCTTTAATCATGGAGGGATGGCATTTCTGGAGAACGCAACCCAATGCCCTGGTGCAGGGGAGATGGGGTCAGGGGTCAGTTATTGAGAGCTGCTTTGATGGCAGGAGAGTATCAGTCCGTGGGCCAGTGTCCTTCCTTCCTTCCTTGCAGTGGCTGGGGGACAGGTGCCAAGCAGGCCTTTCCTCGCCCAGGGATGGGGGGAGCAGCAGGGTGCAGGGGGCCAGGGTCCAGCACACCCTTTCCTTCTGCCTTCCTTGTCTTTCAGGGAGCCATCCTCACCACCATGCTGGCCACCAGGAACTTCTCCGGTAGGTGCTGTCTCTGGGACTCATCTCCTTATCTYACAGGTTACCCAGGGCAAATCTCTAGGGTCCCTGGAGAGCTGGCTTTGCCTCATGTGTCACAGGGAGGCTGAAGATGCAGCCTTGTGCCTCTGGGGATGTGTGGCTTTGGGTGCTCCTCCAGAAGAGGTCACCTGTCACATCCAGGATGGCTGCTGGCTTGGGATGTGAGAGAAAAGGTGTCTGATTGATGCTCAGTGATCCACAGTGCTTTAGGGTTTTGGGGTTTGTATGCACCCAGCTATCTGGGAGGGGGATGTTTGGTGCTGGGGGCAGCCAGAGCTCAATCAGCTGGTTTTGTGTCTTCCTGGAGTTTTTTGTGGCTCAGGGAGAACATCCCCTGCATCGGGAGTATGGAAAGGCCCCTGGGTGCCASTGCAGGCAGATGGCAGCAGGATCTCTCAGGTCTGTCTCCTGGCAGGTGCATGCTAATCCTGCAGGAGTCCCCACTCTCTTCCTGCCTCCCTGCAGCCGGAGGGCTGCCATGGCGACAGCGCCGAGCGTGGCAGCCCAGCCTGTGCTCTGCAGAGGTGTCGGTGCAGCCCGAAGCCCCTTTGCTCCGGTGCCCTCCCATAGAGCGGTTCCCTCTGGGGACACCTCGCTGCAGATGGGATTTCACAGGCGATCCCCAGGCACGGAACCAAACGGAGCCATGTGACTGCAGAGCTCATCCCCCCCGCTGTCACCTGCAGCCTCCCCAGCGCTGGGGATGGCCCTGCTGCGGTGCTACAGGGCTGGGAAACACCAGCCAAAGCCCTGCACGCTGCTGAGCTGGCTGGTGGCAGCTGTTTGGGGTTATTTGGGTGTTTCAGGGTGCTTTGTTGAGGCTCCCCGAGTGCCAGGTGGGCAGGGGTGCCAGGGCAGAGGGCTGTGGCCAGGGCTGGTRTCTGCATTTGTCGCGGGGGGATCATTTAGCACTTGGGGCGGGCGCTGGAGGAGCCCAGCAGCTGGGGGGATCCGATGTCAGCCCCACGCCGGGAGAGGCGGACAGGAAGCATCAAAGAGCAGGAAGTCTAAAGCATCTCTCCTAGTGCTGCCAGTCCCACGCACGGTTCGAGGGCTCACCCAGCCTCCCCTGGCCGGGAGCACGGCAGGGATCGTGGGCTGTAAGGTCTCCTATCGCTGAGCTCCACCGATCTCCCCCTGCTCTGGGGGTTCGGGTCACTGGGTGCGGCCGGGGGGGCTGGGGCAGTGTCGGCAGCGGTGGGTGGGCACTGGGGAAGGCGCCTGCTTTTCATCCTTGTCAAAATGCGGGCTGCAGCTGTCGGGCCGGCGGGCCGRCAGCACATGATCCCGGCAGCATGGGGCTAAAATTAGAGGGCGGCAGGCGGGCAGCCCATTCCTCCCCACTACACCACGCCGGGTCAACAGCACCGCCCGGCCAGAGCCCGCCTCTGCCGGGCAGCCCTGCCGGCCCCCTCCAGCCGCCCCAGGGACTTGGCGTGACGTTAGGACACGGGTCATGCCCCTGGCCAAGAGCCACTGGGGTAGGACAGGACAGTGGTGGCAAGGTCGCCCGTGAGCTCCCACGGGTTTCACCGGGGCTCGCTGGAGAGAAGACGAACCCCACCAGCCGGTTCCGGGGGTGCTGCCGCTCTGGCGCCCGGCACCATGCTGCTGATCCTCGCCCTCCTGGTCYTGGTGCCCTGCCTGGCTCTGCTAATCTCCTTCCTCCTCTCTCCAGGAGGCAAAAGTGGTGGCAACAAGAAGAATGACGGCGTGAAGGTAAGCGCACCCCGGTGCCCTGTGCTGCTGCCCCTGTCCTGCCGGGCGGTGCTGGGGTGTCCGTGCTGTTCCCATGCCCTGCTGGCCGTGGGCTCTCCGTGCTGTGCCCGTGGTCTCCGTGCCACGCCGGCAGTCCCCGCGACACCCTGCACTTTAAAGGGCAGCTGTTGGCTCGGCTGTCCCGGTGTGTCCCGGTGTGTCCCGGTGTGTCCCGGTGTGTCCCCGTGCCACCGGCTGGGCTCCTGCCAGGACAGGCAGTGCACAGGAGGCTTTGCAGCGCAGCGGGCGAGGGGAGCGGGCTGGTGCTGGAGGGTGCCTGGCAAGAGCTCGCTGCTGTTTCATTGCCGGCAAAATGCGCTTGTCCCTCGCTGCCCCCRGGGAGGGGAGAGGCAAAGGCTGGACCAGGACAGGGGACAAGAGGTGGCAGCTTTGCRGCCCACAATCACGGCTCTGACAGCAGCCATCTGGTGGGTTGGGTGGCCTCATCTCCTGCTTGCTCAGCCTGGAGGGTCTTGCTGCTGCTGGCCCCAGTTCCTGTTCCATCCTGTCCCAAGGGTTGGTGTGCTGCTGGGTGACACACGGGTGTTTCTAACCCCCTCGGCCGTGCTGCTTGTCCCCTGTGCAAGGAAACATGGTGRTACTTGACAGAAAAAATGGCTTGGTGATGCTCTAAAAACAAGTTGGTGTTTGGTGGATGTTGTTTCTTGGGCTTCAGAGCCTGCAGGTTCATCAGCCCCTCCGAGCTGGGGCAGCAGCTCTTCTCCAGGACAAGGCGGCTCCAGGAGGCAGCAAAATTCTGCTGTTTCTGGTGACATGGAGATGTGGTGGATAGCAGTGAGCTCTGTCAAACTCCTCCTGCAGAMGGAATGGTCCATGCGAGGGTCTTTCTCTCCTTACCTGTAACCTTCATGAATACAAAGGATCGCTCTGCAAAGGGGAGCTGGCGTGGTGACATCCTCCATTGTGGTGACATCCTCCATCGTCAGGCAGAGCTTTGGGAGCCTGGCTGCAGTGTGGCTGCTCTTCTTCCTCCATGGGGACCCTTTGCTGGGAGAACCTACAGAACCTTCTCCTGGCCTTTTATAGGGACCAAGCTGTTGGGCTGTGATGGGTGCAGGGTTTTGGAGCAGCAGAGCCCTCAGCCAGCTTCTTTCTTCCAGTATGAATGGTTGGTGAAGCCAGAGGTCTAGGAGTGACATATATTTCCCCCACTCCTCACAGACCCAGCAGCTGGAACAGGACAAGCCTGCAAGGACTGAGACCACAYAAAACCCTCCAAACCTGGGCTCAGCTCCAAAAGAGGYCATTCTGGCCATGCMGTGTTATTATGCAGCATGAAGCTGRTGGYGTGGATGGCTCTSAGAGGACATTMCTTTGAGCTGTCAGGATATCATGAGACTCCCAGGGCAGAATTATTAGGTCTGGTGCTAGCAGGTCCATGGGAGTCACAACACCCCATGCACCAGCCACTGCTGGCCTGTCCTCTGCTGCTCTGAGGTCCCAGCTGCTTCTGAGAGTCACCAAAGATGTGACACCACAGGTAGAGCTGAATTGGTGCAAGTTGCTGGAGCACAGGTGAGAGCAAAGAGAGGATGCATTTTTAAGCTGTTAAAGGAGAGATTTCTGGATGAAGAAGCTTAATCAGGCACAGTCCTGAATCTAATTTTCCAGCAGAAATGGAGAGCTTTGAATTTCTATGTTGTGGTAGACAAACATTTGCCAGCCCAGCTTGATAATGATGCTCCCTGTTGGACTTCAAAGGAGCTTTGAGGGCAGACATTATCCTGGGAAAAGGGGCACTTCCTATGGTAGCAAAATAGCTTGTTTGGGTGMACAGCCTTCTGGCTCATCACTTAAACTCAGTGAGGTTTGAGCGTCTGGTTTCAGAGTGGAATCAGAGAGGCTGATTTGCATCCTTAGCCCTCAGCCCTCGCTGCCGAGAAGGGAGCAGATCATGAGGCTTCATTCCAAGTGCAATCTACCCACCAGCACTCATCTGAAGAGTGTGGACAAGCTCTGAGAATGAATTTGCTTTTTTATTGCCCCCTTTCCAACAAGGGGAGACGGCTTGGCTAGATGGCCAGGAAGGTGCAGGAGGAGAAGACAAGGCAGAGACAACTCACTCCCAACAGCTTCCTTGCATCGTCCACCTTCAGCATAACCATCCCACCTCTCATTCCCATGCTCAGCCTGGGGGAACCCGCAGCATAACCGACTCAGGGGGCACAGGGAGGCTGGGTGCTGTGGGTGAAGCTCTAATGGCCCACTGTGATCAGCCAGCAGATGTCAGGACACTGCTGAGCGGTATTAAGTTCTTTTCATCTTGCTGGAAAAGCAAGGTAGGAACCTGGAAGCCTGCCTTGAGTGTTTGGGACAGTGGGAAGGGAATGGTCCTGCCTGCTSAGAGCAGGGCTGTGAGTCAGGCCACACGGTGTGGTCACTGTCACAGGAGTTGTGTTTTCATTTGGAGTAACGTGCTGGACTATCCATCCCCATGAGAGCAGGCAGGTCCCAGGCAGCCACCCCTGCCTTTCCTGCCCAAAGCTGTGCTGGTGGGCAGCAGGCAGCTGGTGCTGCCCTCCAGCCTGTCCAACACCAGCACAGTGCCAGCCCAGGCTCTGAGGCCTCAAAACTCACCCTCCTAAGGAGGTTCCTCACCTACCAAAACCATTCATGGGACCAGAAATCCCCCTTGAGCCCTGCTCTGGGGTTTTTGGGAGGTCCTCTGGTCCCAGCAGCCACGATACTTTCACTGCCCTGTGTAGTGTCCCATCTTGTSCCATTGTAAACGAATGGAATCACTGCCCGGTGTCGCATCCTGTCCCGTCCTGAGCTGATGAGCTCTCTGCCCCATGTTGCATCCTGTTCTTGTATGTCCAGACTCGATGCGCTCACTGCTTTGTGTTGCATTCTGTTACGTCTGAAATTTCTGCAGTTTGCTGCCCCGTCTCATGTCCTTGGGTAGCAGAAGCTGTYAGCCCTTCCTGCAACAGCCCAGCTCCAGTGGCTCCCTTTCTCCGTGAGGTTCCTGACAAAATACCACAGCTCACTCTGCCCTTTTGGACCTGTTCTTTTTTTGGTGAAGGAAGGGTGAGAGTTGACAGATGGCCCAATGCCTAAAGGGGCTACAAGAGAGCTGGAGAGAGACTTCAGACAAGGGCGTGGAGTGATAGAACAAATGGGAATTGCTTCAGGCAGATAGAGGGCAAGTTTAGATTGGATATAAAGAAGAAATACTTTATTGTGAGAGTGTTGAGGCACTGGTACAGATTGCTCAGAGAAGCTGCAAGTCCCCATCCTTGGAAGTGTTCAAAGCCAGGTTAGATGGGGCTCTGAGCAGCCTGGTCTAGGAACTGGATGATCTTTAAGGTCCCTTCCAAYCCAAACCATTCTGTGATTCCATGATACTATCACCTAGCAAGGAAGGGGAGAGCAGCACTAGCAGAGGTTTAAACTCACTGAGGATGCAGTTGGAAGCCTGCTAGGATGTGAAAGGAGCAATGAGAGGGAACGGATATCAGCAGATTTTATGCTGTAGCCCACCCTTGCACCCTAATGGGTGGCTCCATGGACTTTTCCTAGGGATTTGCACAGTGTGTGCTGCTTTTCCCTCTGCAGGGCAGGCAGGTGCCTTGTTAAATATGCTGGTACAACGCTTGGTTATTTGGCACTGCAGATTCTGATTTCTGCACATTGGTATTCCTKGACACACACTGGGATTCATTCCCTCTGGAGGGAGACAGAGGTGCAGAAATGGTATGAGGTCAGCGTGCATGTCCCCTTGTCTCCTGGCTAAACTGAAGATGGAGATGGGAAGCAAAGCAAGGGAAGGAAAGAGAGTCCAGGAGTAGTTTGGGATTGCAAGCAAAAGAGTGGCTGTGGGATGTTCCTGCCCAAAAACCTTAAAGCCTAGTGGTAGTGGTCAAGGATGGAAATAAATGTGCAGATGTTCTCTTTGGAGTCGTGTTTTAAAGCACTGGAGCTGTGCTCAGGACTGTTCCCCACACTGGGCTTGCTGTGGGGCCTTCAGGCCTTTCTGGCCCTAAACCAGCTGAGGACTGGGSTGGGCCCAGAGCTCCAGGAGYGTCCCCACACMYGGCAGTGCCATCAGSAATGCCCCCAGAGYAGATCCAGAGCAGTCASTGCAGCATCCACGCTGGGCACAGGGCTGTGCTGAAGCTGCCTTAGCTTTTCAGAATCCTGCTTCTGYTCTGTGAGCTTGCTGGCCTGCTCACAGGCCACCAGAGTGGCCATTGACACCTTGGGGATTCCATTTGGGACTAGCCAGGTCCTTGGGATGAGCAACCCCAGAGATTGTGGCAGGTCAGGAGAGAAAGGTGCTGGCAGGAAYGCRGGRAAGGAGATGGCARATCACCACCAACGCTGCAGCCAGCRGCACAKCCCCACAGGAGCAACGAGTCCCTCTGCGCCTTCCGTTTGCCCCTCTGTGAGGACCAAGATGGGTGGCTCAGGAGCTGCTGCCTTCCATGTGCTGCTCTCACCCTTTCTCACTCTGTGTCTCTTCCTGTTCCATCTCTTCTCCTTGTTTTTCCAGAAAAGAAAGTCCAGTTCCAGCGTTCAGTTAATGGTGAGTGTYCTTCGTCTTCCTCAATGCCAATATTGCTGGGCCTCTCCACATGTTCCAGCTTCCCCCGTTTTTGGAAGTTACCTCGGGGTAGGGAAGAAGGGACAGMGGGGTTGGAGGGAACATCCTCAAAGCCGTATCACCCACAAACCCCATTAACAGGGTTGGTGCAGGCACTTGCTGGCCACCAGCTGGTGGGAAAGCCAGCCCTGGTTCTTGCTGATGGGTTCTCATGCCGTTTCTCCCAGTTCTCCTGACTCAGGTCTGCAGGCTGCATCGGTCCAAGGAGCCTTGGAGAAACACCTTCCATGCCTCTGCGGGGACTGTATGGTCATGGGACACCTTGCCAACCTACATCGGGGTCTTCTGGGTAATACACAAGCAAGGCTCTGCTGGGAAGAGCTAGCAGAGCCATTGCTCTAGCTCCGCTAGCAGAGTTGCCTTGATGAGGCTCCCGGAGAGAGACAGGGGGTCAGTACCCCTCTCTTCCCAAATCTATGTAGTGCTCAGCTGTTTCTTGAAAGAGCTGTGTCTCAGCCTTCAGTGGTCCATGTGGGTGTTGGAAGCACTGTTTTATTGTACATTTCTCTCCCTACTCTGCGGTCAGTGTGGTCTCTCTCACTCCTGCACAGTCCCCTCTTTCTCATCCCAGCTCCTCCTCGCTGTTAATTTGTACATCTCTCTCTTTATTGTACAGTCAACATGGTGTCTTCCACCCCTGCACAGCCCCTCTCCCTGCCCCTCCGGCAACGCTCCTAGGAWCCCACCACATGGCCCCCGGACCTGCCCCCATCTCTGTCCCCACAGGTGTCGGTAGGAAAGGCAGCGCCGTTCCTACGAGACCCTCCACAGCCCACCTCTTGTGCCCTTGGCGACAAGGAGTGGAGGTCAGGGAGGGCTCTGCCAGTGCTGCCCTAGAGCTGTGGTTGAGGACAGGTTGGACCTGCTGGCGTTTTCCTTGSTTTCTGTCTGTTGGCACAGTTGAGCGCTGTGGGGTCGGACTCGGGGGGCTGTCGAACACACGAGCTCCGTCTGGTACAGGGAGAAGACCCTTCTCACCACCCCATCCCCCCTTTCTGTTCTTTGCTCAGGAATCGTCGGAGAGCACCAACACCACCATCGAGGACGAAGACACCAAAGGTACCAGCRGGGGCATGCGGGAAGGTGGACAGGTTGTTTGGGAGGGGTGCCCATGGGTCTGGCCACCCCTCATGAAATATTTGCTACAGCAAAACCCACCACCATCGAGCTGCCTCAGGGCTCTTCGGAAGTTGCTTTAACTCCTCAGGTGGTTTCAGTGCTGGGTTGCTGCCATGAGCAGCTGGGGCTCCTCACTGCTGGTGAGGAGGGGKGTGCTCCCATAAAGAGGGATGTTCCCTGAAAGCAGGTGTGAAAATGGCAGAAATCTGCAGGGATAGCAGCTCGRCTGCTCTTTTAAAATAAACATCCCTTTGGGAAAAGCCTCCAGGGGAAATCCCTGTCTGCCGCCCGCCTGCCTGCCAGAGGCAGCTTTCTAAGAATAACCCAGGGAGTAATTTATCGGTGTTAATTTGTAAAGTCTCTCGATGAAGTGATCCCAGCATAAAGCAAGATGGACTTTGGCCTGACATGAGAGCTAATGGGACAACTTGTCCTGCTGGAGAGGGACTCCCCGAGCCTGGATGTGCAGGCAGGTGGTGCTCGGGAAATGAGGGAATCCCTCGCCTTTCGGAACAACTCCTAGGAATGCACTCCCTCTCCTTTCATTAGTCACAATGCAAAGGAAAAAAAAGTCAAGCATGATGCCGATTTGCACTTGAAGCAGAGCCTTATTAACAAGGCCAGWGTTACCTCTGACAGTGCCTCCTGCATCCCTGGGAGCCAAAGCCACTCGTGCAGCCCATTCTTCCCTGATGAACTGGCAGTGCCTGGRCTCACTGGCAGCAGCTGCACAGTTCTGTGCCCTTTGCAGGGTCYCTTCTTGTGTCTCTTGGGGTGGCTGCACATGTCACTCACCTGTTCTCCTCCCTGCTGAGACCCTCTCCTCCCATTAGAGAGGGAGGTGAGAGCATCTTTGTTCCAGCTTGCCCTGGTTGGCCTCTGCTGTGAGTTCACAGGGTAGAGGGTCTCAGCTTAGCAAAGCTTTTCAGCCAAGACCAGCTTGTCCCAACTTYTGGGCTGAGGGTAGCTCAACACTTGGTGATTAACTTTTTGGCTCTTWTGGAAATTATGGAGGTTTTCAGTTTTGCCCTGACTTTGAAAATCTTCCCTTTCTGGAGATGAAGAGCCCTTCCCCACCTCTCTCTCTCAAGTTGCTGTTCTGCTTTTTCCCTGTACAGTTTCCAAAGTCCCCCCACATCCTGTGCTCTGTTTCTGATGAGATAGAGGTCTTTCATTGATCTGGTAACACCAGCACCTACTTCTGGTTTTGTTTATCCTTTTATTTTCCTTTTTCTCTTTAAACCAACAGTACGGAAACAAGAAATCATCAAAGTCACAGAGCAGCTGATTGAAGCAATAAGCAATGGTGACTTCGARTCCTACACGTGAGTGTGCCTGTGCTGGTTTGGGCTGGGTGAGGGCTCAGCCTGCCAGACCAGGGTCTCTCACTCTTACAGTGCTGCCCAGGAGGTTTTGCTGCTGCCCAGGGCAGGATGACCAGGTTGATGTGGTGGGGGAGAATGGAGACGATCTGAGACAGCAGGGAACCTCAGTTTCCAAGCCTGACACTGCTCTTGTGCTCAGCTGACCACATCTCTGTGGTGTCGCTGTCATGGATGAGCCTGTTTTTTGGCTTGCAGAAACAGGAATAGTTGTAAATGTGATTTATGGTGGAAGAAGTATTTGCATGTGTGGAATCTATTATATCAAGATTGCCACAGGCTGTTCTGAAGTGTAGGCGRTTTCTGGTGCTGAGCTGATTCTGTTCAGAGTACACCTCTTCTGTGTCCAAGGCTGATTTAATTAGTGATGTCTGAGTGAGTGCAGGTCTTCATCCCTGCCTCAGAGGATTGCAGCAGGGGTATTTTGATACAGAGCAGATAATATGCATTTTTTTCCCTGACGTCTTCCTTTCTTGTAAAGAAGATGACAATATTTGAGGAGGTTTAATTGTGGATGGTGGCTGATGGAGAATGCACCCTGCTTTGGTGGGGTCCTGGCTGCAGTCAGTGGGCAGGAGGTGAGGTGGGTTGGGCAGAATGCAGTGATGAGGTCAGATTTTTGCAAGAATTGCTCATGATGCAAACACTCAGCCTCAGGCTGAGGGAGCCATCCTGCGCAGGAGGAGTTTATGTTCTTCAGGCTCTCATGCCAGAAGTGGTGAGATAACCTCTCACTTTTCTCTCCCCTTCCTGTCTCCCCAGGAAGATGTGTGACCCCGGGATGACTGCTTTTGAGCCCGAGGCTCTGGGCAACCTTGTGGAAGGCCTGGATTTCCACCGATTCTACTTTGAAAACCGTAAGTAGCTCACTTGCTTTCTGAGGGACMCCTCCCACATGCCTTTCTTGACCTCCATCAGTTTGCTGGAGGGAATARGGTTAGGATGGCTGTGGGAGCATCTCTGGCTGATCTGGGAGATCCCAGAAGGAGGTCTTAGGTCAGCTGGGGCCTAAAGGGGTTTTTGGGTTAGCTGATTTCTAGRTGGACCCATCCTGAACCCACCTACATAGCATATACTCAACCTTAAGGAGAGAGCTTAACATAGGTGCCTCCCCTTCTTACATTGCTGTCGGCCTGGGCAAGAGCCACCCAAACTCCTTCCCCTGCCTAAATCCACTTGTGCTTGTCCCCTCTCCAGTGTGGTCCCGGAACAGCAAGCCCGTGCACACGACGATCCTGAACCCCCACATCCACCTGATGGGAGACGAGTCCGCCTGCATCGCCTACATCCGCATCACGCAGTACGTGGACTCCGGAGGGATCCCCCGCACTGCCCAGTCCGAGGAGACCCGCATCTGGCACCGCCGCGATGGCAAATGGCAGATTGTCCACTTCCACAGATCCGGCGCGCCCTCGGTCCTACCGCAGTAAGCCCTGTGAGTATCTGGGGAGGGGGCAGGCTGGCTGTGGGCTCACTGCAGCATTGGGGCTCACAGCACGTGGGATCCTGTCTGAAGGTCTGTGGTGCGGGAGGAGGTGGCTGATTGCTGTGAGATGGCAATGGGGAGAGGGCTGCTGTGCCAAAGGGATGGTCAAAGCAATTTCCAGCYCTTCCCCGTTTGTGTTTTGCAGCTGAAGTGTGGCCCTGCCCGTGTTGGGTTTGTCACTGACTGACTACCAAGGGGAGACCCCCTCCGACATGTTCACCTACGGGACTTTGGCTGTTGGCTCTGCTGCTTGGTTCCCGCTGGAATAATCCTCGCTTCTCACCGCACACACATGAYGGCCCCGCCAGTGCAGCTCAAGCATCCCATCAAACCCTCCACCCTGCYGGGGTCGTGGCACTGGGCCCCGCTTCCTCTGCATGAACCAGAAAAAGAAACCATGAACTTAAACTCAAGCATCTGGCCAGTGTACAGGCCCCCCTCGTCGGCTGCATAGCATCGGTGGGCCCCCTCACTACCCAGCGCATCTCCTGAACTGGGCTCAGACTCATGATCCACCTCCATCCCCACCTCTGCTGGAAGCCCACCGAGGAAGAGGGGGGCAGTTTTGAGCCGCTCTCTGCTGCATCCTCCCTGCGTGCTGGTGGATTTTGCTTTGCTGCTATCAAGGTCTCTGTCTGCCGCCATGACTTCCACCTGCTCCCGACCTGAGTTCCTGCTTCGGCCAGGGAACAGCRATTCAATCCATTTGCAAAGTTCATTTTTCATGCATACCTGGGCAATGAGGGCCATGTTTGGATGGGTGAGTAGAGACTATCTGTTTATTTTCCCTTCCCAGTGCAGGCTGGCTCCTTCCCAAGAGGGCAAGTAGGTTTGCACCCTGGCTCCAGGCAGCTGCTRTGCCAAGAAGGATGCTCTCCCTCCTCCCTCCCTTCTCCCTTTGGAGCAGAGACCGGCGATGCTGGGAGAAGAGAGGAGGAGAAAGACAACTGCTTCCCAATACCACAGGGGCACAGACAGGAGCTGGGGCTCTCCCATCTGTGTCYGGGCAGYGGCATYGCCCCTGTGCCCTCCTCCTCACCCWCCACCCAGCCTGGATCCTTTACCCCAGCACCCACCTCTGCCCCCCACATGCAGCACTGGCATTCCGCTGCTCCTGACTCCCAGGATGGGATGGGGGCAGCCAAGCTGGCTGCTGGTTCAGGGCACAAACCTCCATCGCCCRTGTGATTCCTTCCAGCGACAACAAGGAATGCAAGCTTTAGTGACAAACTGCAGAATCTGRTTGTGCTTCGACGAAAACAAACAAGCCTTTTGCTGTCTTCTCCTTTGAGCGCATGCCTTTTTATAGGGAAAAGAAACCAACCTACCGTGTATTTCGTAACTTGATTTTGAGTATTTGCTGAAATGGATCTTTATGTAATAACTAGAAACATTCAACTGTTTAAGTGGGGAGGGAGGGGGGATTTTCGGGGGTTGCTGTTTTTCATTGCGTTTACATTTGAAGTGGGGTTGTTCTGCCACGATGCTCCTMCCAGGGGTCCCACGGCTGCCAGCCCCCTCCTCACACCGTGGTGGCTTTTCCCATTCTGTCCCACAGCGTTGGGTGGTGAAGGCACCCATCTCCAGGGGCACCTGTCTCCAGGGGCACCCACATCCCCACGGCGCCTTCCTGCACCCCATGGCTCTTCCTGCAGGGCAAACCACAGCGGTGGCTCTGGGAATGCCACTGGCACGTGGCTTTCAGGACAGAAGACACGGCCGGGAAGGGGAATGTTGGTCTCACCTCTTTGCCAGCAGGCAGAGGTCTGAGGGTGGGTGTTTTTCYGGCAATTTTTCCGTTTCACATTCTGTTTTTTCCGACTGGAGCCTCTCCGCTCTCTGACGTGAGGCTTCTGCAGCGCTGCTGCCCCGGGGTACTTTCTAGCTCCACTCTCTTCGTCTGCATGGTGTTTAACTTTCTAGACGGTGCGTGTGTTGAAAAACAAAGAAATGAACAAAAACTGCTCGTTTTGGACCTAAAAAAAAAAAAAAAAAAAAGAAAAAGCATCTACTTACAAAAAAAAAAAAAAGAAAAAGGAAAAAAAAAAGGAAAAAAAAAAGAGGAAATGTTTCCTCCATGTAAATTCTGAGCGTGTATTTTGCCTTTTCTGTGGTTTTGAATGCTTTGCTCTCTGTTGAGGCAGGGACGGCCACCATGCCAAATGCAACTACATCCTTGCAGACTGCAAAAATATTTTCCCACTGGATGGAGGGGAAGAAGTCTAAACTGCTGGGGCATGGACAGGCCCTGAGAAACGTGTTGGTGTGTTCTGCTGCGCCAGCAGTGCAATGRCTGCTGGTGACATGTATAGGAGATGCCTTTTTGGGGGCAAATCACAGAGATGATCCAGGGGTGCCCATGGGGGTCCCCATGCCCTTGGTGGACCTGTGCACCATAGGCTTGCAAGAGTTGACTCCAAAGCAGGGAAATCCATGCAGGGAAAGAATTAGCTTCTAAGGTAGAGTTTAGGTGTTTTTACAGATCTGTTTTTCTTCCTGTAGTCATATAGTGCTGAAGTTTTTTTAATTTTTAAAGGAAGGACTCAACTCTTTCACAGTTCTCTCTCTCCCTCTCCAGAGCTGGCTCTGAAGCCAGCCTTGGTCAGTATTATCCATCTTCTGATGTCCAAGCTCTCCAGGTGTCAAGAGGATTTTTGGGGATTGGTATAAGGTGTCTGATGATGGAGGACATCACAGCAGGGCTTTGCATGGGGGCTGGAGGGCAGATGCCATCTCAGCCTGGTTTTGAAGCTGCTGATAGCTGTGGGCCTTGAGTGGGCTGAGGGTGAAGCTGCTCCAGCAGCTGTAGCTGGAGAAAGGACTGGCACCGGGGCTGCAGTAGAGTTYGCTGAGAATGACAGATGAGATGTTGGGGTACATACAATCTGCTCTCACTGAGAACCCACAGTCACTTCTAGGGAGAAGCATCTTGGCTTCCAGGAAGGCTTTGAGGCGTCTTCTTGCAGGGAGTTTCTCCTCCTTGAGGTTCTCCTAGGTCACCTCCCCATGATGCAGCTGGATGTCCTTGCAACACTCCTTTTCAAGGGAAGCAGAGTCTGGAGTTTCAACTCATTCTAGTCTTCCAGTCGAGCTGCARCCTGACCAAGGAAGACTCAACTTCCCAACATGCCCATGCTGGCAGCATTAAGCACCTGCACTTTAGGGCTCTGTCCTGCCTGGTTTCTCTGCCCCACCTTGCCCTTCTTCTCCAGAGTGGGTTCCTGAATCCCCAGAGCATCTCAGTAAACACTGATGGACCACCAGCATTTCTTGCAGAGTCCATGGAAAGCATCTGTATCTGTCTTCCTTCTCATTTCCTGATTTCTGCTAAACTGGCAGGAAAATGATACAAATAAGTTTCCACCCTCCTTCTTTGGCTGGAAGAGCCAGGGATGCTGCTGTTACATCTCTCCTTTTGACACTGTCCCTGACAAATGGAATTGGGCATTGCCCCAACAATGACACCATGGCTCTGGGAATGATAAAGTTCAGGGATGTTCCCAATAAGCAACATAGACAAGGCCACCTTGTTGGGATGGAGTTTACCATCATGGACCTCCTGTCCTATCAGCCTCAAGGCTGGAGATCAAGCTGTGGCACATTTGATTTCCTGGCACAGACAGAGCTCCTCTCCTCTGGTCTCCTGGTGTCTGGGGCAAACCAAACTCAGAAGTCCTCCAAACTCATCCCCTCTTCCACCTCTCCCACACCTCAGAGGAGTCTAACTGGAAGCTCTTGCTGTGGTGGTGTTGAGCTCCCAGCTCCACAGGTGGATTTGGGAGCTGCCTGTTTTCCCTTCCTGGCTACCAGGCTCCTCTGGCASCATCATAATTTCTCACATCTTGCTGATGCATCCCGTCTAGAAGAACAAGAGGCCACTCCAGGGCCTCCATCCCCTCTCCAGCTGGGAGAGCTGTCTTTCCCCGCAAACCCGTATGAAATGCCCCCTCTGCCAGACACAAAACCCTTGTCTGACCCCAAACCTGCCTCTCCTCCCATGGATGCCCCCATGGATCCCCAGAAGCTCGGACAAGCAGCAGTCACYTACTCCCACTTGGAGCTCCTGGTGGGCTCTGCAGCCTGTGGTGGGGTTTGCAGTGCCACGTGTGAGAGGGCAGCCACTCAGCCCCATAGTCCAAGAGGTATCTGCCAGCAGGAGATCCCATAAACTCCTGACCACCCCAGGAGACAGACTGACYTTTCTTCCCCACCACAGGACACATSTCATGGTGTACCCCACACTCTTGATGCAGCACAGGTTCTCCAGCCAGCAGAGAAGARATCTCACCCTTGCCCATGTTCCAGGGTGCAGGTCCCAGCCCGTCCATATCAGACAGGGAAATGCAGMTGTGAGCAGGCTGTGGGGACACCAGAGCAGGGGCTGGTGGCCAYTCTGCCACCAGATCCATCTGAATCTCCTTCCCTTCTGCAGGTCATCGACAGGGAGTGGGAGAGAGGAAACAGTGGAAGGGATTGTATCGAGTGGCTCCTTCCTTCTTTGGATTGTTGTCCCTTTTTTCTAACTGTTGCACAATTTTAGGGCTTTTGTAACATTTTTTGGACAAGCAGGGAAAATATGTTAACAGTGGTTTAAGGAAAAAAAAATGAGATCTATCTCTCTCTCTTATATATTATATATATATAAAAACTATATATACTTACAGGAAATCTCTATGGAAATATTTATTTAAGATGATTGCAAAAAATATATTATAATTAAGAGTATACCAAGCTTTGTCACGTAACAAAAAATCAGGCCCCGGGGAGGGGTAGCTGCCTGTCCCCTCGTGTCTGTCCGTCTGTACGGTTGCAGCTGAAGCCTTTCTCTCTTCTCTTTTTGTAAGTGCACTCGAACTGTTGAGCAGTGTGACCGTGTTGGATTCAGTGGGAATTCGGGGGGGAGGTGGGGGGGGATTGATTTTGTTTCCTTTTCCTTTGTCTCTTTTGAACCTGCAGCTGTGAACAGAATGATCACTGCTCAAATCAGATGCTCTGTTTGGGGAGGGCGGTGGGGGGGGACGGGGAGCAGGGTGGGTATGGGAGGGAGGGCGAGTGTCAGTTTTATTCTTGGTGTTCAAGTGCAATAAATAGCTACCAACTTCTGAGCATGGAAACGGATGATTCTCCGTCACTGCAGTGACTCAGACTGTCTGCCACCCCCTTGTCCCTCCATCACCACGCTGCTGTCCTCGAAAGCATCAGGGCTGGGACCAGGCCTTGGGCAGGGGCTGCTGCCTGAAGGATGCTGGTGTTCTGAACTCTGCCCACCCCTGGTCTCCAGCATCTCTGTGGTTTTAGGGAGGTCAGTGTGCCCCCCAGACCCAGCTCTTTGCAATTCAGTCCTTTTCCCAGCGATGGGGCTCTGGGGTCAGCAGGTGTCCGGGAGCCCCCAGCAGGTGCTCAAGCTGGATGGGGGTGGGAGTGCCCACTGGGCTGTTTGGGGGAATTTTGAGGAAGCTRGTGCTGCAGGGTGAGTGAGACTGACCCCCAGGCAAGTCCAGGGTGGGTCTGGGGGGCTCCCAGGGGCTCGTACCCTTCAATCAGGGGCACTGGGTTCAGGCTGCCACAAGCCCCGTTCCTGCTCCTCCCCCGGCCCTGGGGTGCCCCTATGCCCCCCTCTCCTGCCATCTGCCCCTCTGCCCCCCTCTCCTGCCATCTGCCCCGGCCCCGGCAGGTGTCAGCACTGCAATGTTCCCGCTGCTGCGTCCCCCGAGCCCTGGGCAGCCACGCATGGCACAGCACACGTGTCCTCGGGATGTGCCACTGCCCCAGTGCCTTTTGCCCTTGGAGTCCTCCCTCACTGCCAGCTTCGCTCCTCAATCACATCCCTGGCACAGCYTGGGTTCTGTCCCTCCCAGCGCTCTGCAGCACAGTGCTGCTTGATGGCAGCTGCCAAGGGAGAGCCCTGAGGATCCCAGGATCTCAGTGGGGATTTGGGAAATATGGCAGGATCCCATGCAGGTAGAAAAAGCTGGGAGAYATGCAGAGACCGGAGCAGCTTGGTCAACCCAGAGCAGCTTCAACTCCATGCGGTGGGAAGGCGTCAGACATCCCTGGTTCCTCTGGTGCTTTGTGGCTGGCAGTGACACCGTGAAACACCCAAATCCATTACCCCACACAGACCCCCGTGTGTGCCCCTTTGGGGCCAGCCCAACCCGGGCTCCCTGGCCAGCACCCACACCGATGGCTGGGCAACACCATGACCTGCTGAGCCTCCTGCTCAGCAAATAGTGTCAAGGTTAGAGCGAGGGATTCATTGGGGCCATAAATGTTTATGGCAGGCCCTCCCCGCTCCGCAGCCGCCATGGCCTGAACTTTCCATCAGCCACGCTTTTATGGCTGGACTCTAATGATTAACCCGGGGCCAGCAGCCCAAGGCGCTTCACGGTTGTGCTGCCAGAGCCCCACATGCCTGGAGTAGCTGGGGCTGGGGGACCCCCAATCACCCCAATGGGCTGCAGCAGTGGTGGGATATGGTGAGGAGAATGGGGGAAGCCATCAGTTGTCCTGCAGGAGAAAGGAAGGGCAGAGCTATCCAGGAATGAGCTCAGCATCCCTGGACAAGGAAAGGTGAGTAGGGAGGAGGACAAGATGTGGGAGCTGATCCTACACTCCTGGAGGAGCAAAGGCAATAATTACATTTCCTCTGCTGTAAGGAGAAAAACTGCAGCCTTTGCCAGAATTCACCCTGGGAACTCAGAACACAGTGCTGGACCCAGTGTATCAGGACCACATCCATAATCCAGACATAGACCCTAATATTTATGTTTATCCTAGGGTTTTGCCTTTTGCAAGAAAAAGGTTTGCCRGAAAAAGACCAGGGGGAGCTGTGCCCCTCTAGATGCACCTAGGAAGCCYGGAAAACCCCTCTAGATATGCCTTTCTTCCATGCTGAGGATCCTCCGAATAACCCAGGCAGGGTCTGTCACACAGAGCTTTTACTGGTGAGCTGATGGCACATGGTAGAAGGCACATGTGACACTGACAGTGTCAGRTCC